GCACATTTCCGCTAATTCGCGCAGGAGTTTTCTGGCAGTTCTTGGGAGCTCAAAACTGCACCATGAGATCAGACGGAGGGGAGCCTGTGAGTACACTTCGAAGGGGAGCACTCCAGGGGTACCTTCTAACTGCTCCATATCCGGTCGTCCTTCTGGGAGGGCAACTCGTGTCCAATGCGAGTAGTTGTGTTGTGCAGTGCCGAGGTACGCTCTCCATCCTGTGATATGCGTAATTGTAAAGCCCCGTTGCCTAAGCAGTTTAATGTCATGGTTCGACGGGTTCCATACGCAAAGCCTGTCATCTGCATGGTGAATGAGGTGGATCTCTCTCAGCTGAGATAAGTTGTATGTCGTTAGCAGCGATGGTGGCAGCGCAATGGCTGCTAGCACGGTTTTGCCACCAACATCTGGGAACTCTGAGAGGATGGTTTCCCATACCATTCCTGCATACGAGCCAGCGCTGTGCCCTCGAATGTAGATAGAGCCTATCATGTATCCTGTTAATCTGAGATAGTCTACTGGACGGATTTCAGGGGGCAGGCAGACTCCGACCAACGGATGCGCAACTAGTAGCTTAGTAAAGAGTCGCAGGCCATGCGTGTACCCCGGCCATGGCGGTTTTCTATGCGCTGGGGTTATAGGACAGAAGCGCAGCAATTTCATGGCTCGACTGATGATCTGCGCTTGCAATTGGTTCGCACTGGGCATTCCTAAAACACGGCACCAGATGTGTGCACCGATGGGAAACATGGCGATGTGCAGTAGCAAGTATTCTTGTGTGTGGGCAGTGCCTGCTACTGTGCCAGCTCTTGCATTCCAATCGTCCTGTTTGCTAAGGGATGGCCCATACACATGTGCTTCCTTTTTGCAAGCTAGCAGTACGTCCCAATCTTCATCAAGTTCTCCTCCACCCAACCCAGTGCACTGAACTTCCAGGGACCCTGGGTCAGCGTCATTGAGTTGCCAGGAGGTGTTATCCATGACAGTGATTTTCCAGTCAGTGTATTTGGGGTCTGCATGGCTGGCAAGCACTTCATTGATGGCTAGTTCTGCGTTGCTAGGGTCAATTTCCAGTCGTCGTTGCAGCGCTTCCAGCAGAGGGAGGATTGGGGCAGTGGGGAGCTGAAGGCTCGCATGCTGACCGCAGAAGACAATGGCAGGCTCGCAAGCTTTGGGCCAAGGTGTATGGTCATTGCTGCTGTTGGGGGCTTCCACTGGTGTCCAAAGGCTCTGGAGAAGCAACACCTGCGTCGGAGTAAGGCTTCTGTTTTGCGGGACATGCGGCTTGGCGACTAGTTTACTCCCTCTAACAAAGTCGCAGCCTGTGGGGTGTGTCCATAACGGTGGTGCCTCATCGACTCCTATGAGCGACACAGCTAGCGGTTGCAGACCTTTGCTTAGCCACTGTTGGAGTTGGTGTCCTAGGCCTACTTTACTCCCATGGAAGGCGTGCACAATTGGTGGCAGGCTATACCCTATGGTTAACTCCTTGCTTTGGAACAATTTGTCTCCTGGAAGACAGAGTATGGGGAAGTCGGCTGGGAAAACTGACATAGGGGAGAGTGCACCTTGCTCGAAAATGGGGCGCGCCCAGGTAAGGAATGGCGGGGTCCGCTCGACAAAGTCCGGTCTAAGGTATCGGCCATCTCCATGACGTGGCCATTCTCCTTGCTCCGGGATGGGGAAGGCAATGGCTCCCGCCCATTCGCCCAACATTGCCCATGCATGTGTCCAGTCAAGCGGGGTTCTAGCCTTACATCCTAGTAGGGGGGTGAGAAGTAGCCCGCCTCTCATCGCTTCCGCGGGGTCTTCTGGCACAGCGGTTGTCGCTAGGAAACTGGCTCGGCTATCTTGGAGTGCGGTGACCCAATCATCTGCTGTTCTGCGGTTGGCAGGGTGGGCTATTCGTCGTGCCTTCGGGGCGGGTGCATCACTCGGAGAGGAGCTTTGGGCAGTGGCCGGTGGCATGCATGCTTCCGGGGTTGCTTGGTCCATTTCTACATCAGCTGCCTCGATCGGGATATGCCCTGTCACAATGATCAAGCCGGCATTGAGTTCTGCCTTGGCTTCTGTGGCAAGAAGTACTGCTGGAGGGCACTGGTTAGAGCTGGCCATTATGTTGTGTTGCATTGCTGCGGCTCTGCTTGCCTTATCCGTCATAAGATTAATTAGTTCGGCTATCTCAAACAATGAGGTCGGCACGCAGTCAGAGTCAATGAGTGCAAAATTTACAGTGGGGAACATTAAGCACAGCGCCTCCAGAGCTGCAGCACCAGCCCAGGTATAATGGACCTGATGCAAACCTGTATCAGCGTGAATGGGAAAATGGATAGCAGTCGTTTTCTCTTGGTATGGGCCAGTTACTGTACACCGGGCTTTGATCCAGGGTGCAAAAAGCGGCCAGTAGGCTGGAGGATCAGTGCCTGACAGTTTGCGGTTGTCCACATAAACATAGACGGTGGCATACTGTGGTAACCATGAGAGATTGTCTATGATCCACTGGAAGAGCGTTCTGTGATGGACCTGGCTGGCTGCAGGGCGTTGGATGCCGTTCCCTTCGTCTACCATGAGTGCAGGGTATGTCAGGGGTGCCCGGGGCATTCGACAAGAGCCGACGTCGTCCCATTTCCACCTTTGTTTGATGTCGTCCATGCCGAGCGGGGTCTCAATTTCTTTCTGCGAGAGGAAAAGTTGGTCAAGCTGATGGCTTAATTGTGTGACCTCCTGGACATTGAAGAAATCTATAGGTGCGGCAATTTCCCACTGTTCCCTTGGGGGAGGCTCGGCCCCTTGTTGGAAATACGGAGCGTCATCTTCTGTTTCGATGACGTCAAAGTATTCTGTGTCGCTGTCCATTGACACGTCCTCAACTGTGTTATCTGGGGCGGTTGGCTCTGCTGGTTCGATGTCTGTATCTGAGTCATCAGGGTCAGGCGACGTCAATGAAATGAACCTATTTGGTGTCATAAGCTGTTGCAGCATGCTGACGCCGGCTTGACCCTGAAGAGCCGGTACCCGGATGTCAGGTGCCAAGTGACCAGCCGAAAGTAGTGAATGCTATACGGGTAGAGAGTGCAAAATGTGTCAACAGGATTGGCTAGGCTAGGGAAACCCCGAACACCCGGCACCCGGGGTCAGGGTCCCCCTTTGCGGGGCCAGTTCGTTGGAGGTGAAACAGGTAGGAAACAAAACAATCGGGATTTGTCTTACACCTTGGTGTGCGAATTGATGTCGGATGGCTGACCTAGCTATGAAGACTAGTGGAGCCACAAAAGCTGCAGTGCGAACAATTGAGCCTCTGACAGTTTATGCAACCTTCTTTGCTCAAAGTACATGTTAGTTCGACAGAAGTTGAGATGACTAACGGTGACAGGACCTGGGACACACGCCTAACCAAGAAGCTTCGCAGACAAAACAAAAACAATCAAAAATTCCCATAAATCCCCTTACTCCGGCTTATGGGGGTCATCCTTGAGTGGGTACTCTCCCTTACGGTAGGTTTGGGGGGGTATTATCCTGGCACGCAGCTGCTTTTCTCTTTGGCGCATCTGTGGAGTAGGCGGCATTAGAAATGGCACTGATCAGGTGGTTTCGCACAGTCAGGCGCACGCAGTGCTAGCTGTCTGCATGGTCAGTCAATGATTTCCATTTCCATATCTGCACCAGGAGAGGGTTGCAGAGTGTCTGATGATTGGTCATCTTGCATTCTTTTAAGGCGCTTTAGATATGGATGAGCTCGTTGAAGTGTCGCAAATGTATATTGTTGTCCTCTGTACCAAGTGTGTCCATGTACATAGGCTCGTCGAAGTGCTCTCAGTAGACTGCGCTTTCGAACCTGATCTGACCGTTGCCAGTGTCCGCAGCCAAATGATGGCGTCTCCCCATGTTGATTCACAGCACTCGGAAAGGAATCGAATGTTGTCAAAATTGCCGCTGTTTCAGGGATCTGCATGGTCAGATCCCAACCCTCACCCTCACGAGAGGCAAGAATGATCAAAGAAAGAGTTGCCCACACAAGGCAAAATGCGGCAGTGATTTTAAACATCCTCTCGTCCTGGAATTGGGACCAGGTGCACCAAGGCTGTTATAGAGCACAACTCAAGGCAGGTCGCTCCAATCACTAGAGTGCAGAATCGCCAAGGGCGGTTTGGCCAGCAGAGCGGAATCTGTCAATCTCGTAGTGTAGCTGTTCCCCAAAATTGAAAAGAGCCAAAAAGGGTGCCAGAATTAGAGTATTGGAGCCAGGCAGTGTAAATGGGAGCTCACCCCGCCGATAGGAATCAGCACTGGTCCAGGTTGTGCGTGGATGGAGAGCCCACCTCACTTCCACAATTGTAGAATAAAAACCACAATAGCAGTAGTGCAAATGGCAACGCCCCCAACAAACACAATTGCGAGAGGAATGGCTGCGCAGCAGATCCACCTCACCTGCACTTGAGGCACCAGGATAGGTGCAAAGGGCTTGTGTGTGTGTGTGCGTGTGATACCTTCTAACACAGGTTTTGCAACAGGACGACAATTACAATGTGACAGCAGGGGGCACAGGCCCATTGTGGATACCTGTGCCAACGAAGCTATTCCACAGGGGAAGCGGAGTCTGATCACCTGCGTGTACCTGCTGTAGCTGCTGCTAAAGGAGTTCAGCTGTTGCCAAAGCTGTTCTACTACTGTGTTTCCCAGCAGCCGAGTTTGCCTTTCATTCACATCACCTTCGACGTTGCTTGCATGACATGGGACCATACATTGACTTGATCTTGACCATTGACTTGGATTCCACTTTGTGTACTTTTCGTTCATGCACTTTTTGTCTCAAAGCCCGACTCGAGCCAGTGTCTACATATCTCCACACACTACCACGACCTCACACACGTCTACGACTACATCATGTTGGTTACCCTTTTCAGGTTTGGTCTACAACTTCAACAAAGCATAGGCATAGCACACGTAAGGCAAAAAGCAAAGGCATAGCAAACTTCAAGCAGTTGCAAAGGCACAGAAACTCACTTTCTCATTGGCGCTGTGAACTGCGGAAGGCTTGGAAGGCTCGCCCAGCATATGGGCCAAAGTACTGCTGCCACTGCTCCTGCTGTACAATTCCCGTCATATGGGGCAAGTCTGATTGATCTATCTGCTTGCCATCTGTACATATGATAAGTAGGAAATCATTTTCATCACAACTTTTCGCTCTTTCATCTTGAATGTTTTGTAGATCTACCTTTGCAGTCCCTTGTTTGCATTGCCCACACTCGGTTAGGAAGCCTTGCTGCCCATCCAATTGCAAGAGCACGGCAAAATCAGCTGCAGGTGCACCTCCTGCATTCAGAAAAACGTAAGAGCATTGGTCGTTTGTGTCCTGCAGGTCAACCATTTTACCATCAGCAAGTGTTGCTTGCACCCTTCGTTTTTGTGCTGGTTGTTCCCTGCGTGGTTTCCCAAAGAGGAAGTCCCGGCAATTCGTCGCCATCCTCTGTTTTGCTTGGGCATTTTTCAAATGCCTGTTGACAACCTTCACATTGCGCAAGGCCTTTGGCTGAAGAATGGCTCCATGATGCAAATCGCTCAGTCTCACAGTCGCGTCAGGAGGCCAGCACAACGATTTCAACACCCGAAAGCGTGCGCAAAAGTCCTCAAACGCAAGGCCACCTGCATCTGGACCCCTACATATTTCATTGTAGCCATCAAGACTCCACTTTGCAAGATCTGGCAATGCATCCTTTCTTGTCACTCCAAGAAGGATCCAAATGTAGGGTAAGCGTATTCGTCGTTGCGATCTATCTGAGTTGTATTCAAGCCTCACTAACTGCAGCTTTTCTGGATCAAAGTTACCAATTTTAGCTTCCGGCTTCAACCACTGACCAGACAAAGCGGCTTTGAGGATGGGTTCAAAATCTGCTGGGACAGCCTTTGGATATCTGTCCATTAAATTTCTAATCACTGCGTCCTTGAGCAAGTCAATGTTCTCAAGAGTTTGGTCGTTACAGGCATCTTCCAAAGCCTCCAGTGCTCGCCCGTGCCCTCCCATATCACTTTGCAGAAGCTGCAGAACCTCATTGCCAGTGAAGTTAAATACTGCTTTCCCATTTCGGCAAACCTTGTCCACCAACGGGAGCATGACATAGTGTCGCTTTTGTGGACTGTCCGCAAGGGCAAATTCGACACCGAGTTGCACTGTGGCGGCCATCGCGGCAATCGTCAACGGACCATCATCACGAGTTGTCAACTGACACAGCTTGCGAATGGTCTTATAAAACAAAGAAGTCTTGTCAGTGGGGCTATCAAAGCCAGGCAGAAATTGCATCCCATCAAGCGCCACCAAAATGCTATAATTCGCAGCGCTCAGCTGCTCGCCCTCACACATGGCATCCAAAATGTCATCTACGATGAGATTGGCAGTCTCCGCCACCGCTCGGTGCAGCTGACTGAATGTGAAGTTTGGTTTCAGGCCGGCCCATCCAGATGCCCGTCGGTTCCGAAGTAGCTGCCACAGCATGCGGGCAACTACGATTTTGTCAGGGTCAGTGTCGAACTGTCCATCAAAGCTCATGCCATTCTCCAAGGTGAGCAGGAACGGAAACAGTTGTCGATCAGCTGGATCAACTTGCTCTGTTTTGTTGATCAGCATAGGCAGTTCCTGCAGAAAGCGTGATTTTCCTTGGCCAGGAGAACTCAAAACCAAAAGAATTGGGCGCTCTTGTTTGTCGGAAGGGTTCTCCACTGTCTGTTTAATTATCGGCGTCAGCTCCTCCACCAACTCTTGAGCACCACAATAGTCCCAGTCAGCACCTGGAGTTTGCAGTAAGGCTATGGGATCCTCAAACTTCAGACCCGCAAGCAGTTCGCTCTTAAGCGGCAAAACCTCACATGAACTTCAAGGGTTCCGAGAAGAACGGTGGAGACCCAGCATATCCCAGGAAATATGGTGGGCAGTAGCAAATCATCTTGAGACACTGCAAATCTCAACATTAGCTAAATTGTTTGATATTCTTTGCAAAATAGGGGTGGTCATTTGTTTCTGGTCTGCTTTCAGAAGTCACATTTGCATATGCATCTGTTTGGTTGTTTCAATCATATTTACCATGTTGTCGGATATTCTTGATTGCCTTGCTGGTAATTTCATATATCCACTGGAGGGGCACTACAGAGTATGGAACAGAGGACCAAAGAGACAGAACTGTTTGAACCTTTTTGAATGCCATTCGAATGTGAAGCATCTTTCATTTATTTTTGCATCTTTTGGAAGAACTGTGACCAGACTGAAGCTGTGCAGCAGATGGCCTTCTCTTGGACTTTTTGGACTTCCTCCTTCGCCTTCTGCACCTCCTCCTTCCTCCACTTCCTCCTTCGCCTTCTGCACCTTCTCCTCCGCCTTCTGCACCTTCTCCTCCGCCTCCCGTGATTTTCCGCTCATCTCCTGTTTGCCTGGCAGTTTGCAAGTCTTCCACTGCCATGTCCACTTGCACTTGTGCAGTTGCTTGCTGGTCCAAAGCAAGTTCCAGCTGACGTCGTGCCAAGGTCAAGGCATCAGCCTGTCACGACGGACAGACAGCGCGAATGAGAACGAAAAGACAGGATTGTTCTGGGGGACTAAATGTTCTTCTCCTCTCCAGTCTGAGCCTGGAAGACAAAAAAGACTTACCTCTGATGAGTCCTGTCTTTCTGAAAGCCAATTATTCCGTCTTTCTTTTCAGGTTCTTTCTTTTCAGTTTCTTTCTGTTTCCTTCACTTTCTGTTTGAAGAAACAAAACTGCTGGACGTTGGATGACCTGTCCAGAGCAAACATGTCACATGCAACATGACATGTCGATCTGCAACATGCAGGAGCCTTTAAATCGAAGCGAAGTAAAATCGAAGCAACAAATAAACGTAAAGTTGCCGTTGAAAAGAGGGAATTCAATGGCTGATAATGGCCGTATGGTGCCTCATCTCTCGCAGGCGATCGTTCCTGCAAGGGTTGCAGAAGCTGACAGTTCAGAAAAGAAAATAGCGCTCTGATTCTATGAGTTGCACTCTCTTCCAACAAAAGATCAAAGAATGAAAAGCAAATTCTTCGTCTCAGACTGAAGAAAGGTCAAAAACCAAGCAGTACAGATTGCAGGCAAAAGCTGAGTGCACTTGAAATCCAGGAATATATTTGTGGACTTCCTGGTCATTGCTGCATGTTTGTGGAATGTTCACATGAACAAAGGAGCCATCTGCAAGTCACCACGCTCTAATGCTTTGGAGACAACGCAAATTCCAAGGGCCCATCTCCTCGACTGGTTGAATTTTTTTTGGACCTTCCTGCAAGTTTGCCAAAACCAAATGCACTAGTAAGTGAATGCCCAACTGAGCATAGGATTGCATAGAGCACATTCTGCACTCCAGAGACGCTTCAAAATTTGCAATTCATCGTTGCATATTTCTGTAGCAAAAAATGCACAACATGCAAAATGTCTGTCACTTTGGTGCGACGGTTTTTCAACTCGTTTGGTCCTTGTTTGGTGCTGCAAGCAAAGGTCCCACACCATGTCGCTGACAGAAAGGTTTCTGTTGACAGAAAGTTGTGCAGGGGCACACCTTGGAGGCAATTTTGCAACACCTTCTCCAATGGGTTGAAAGTCCACTTGCGACAAATACTTGGAATATCTTGGAATTTCGGTCAACTAAGCGCGAGGCAACAAAGGAGACAAGCCACGCTGCAACCAAGATCCAGCCTGTCAAGGTCGCTTCCATGTCAGCATATTTCTAACAAAAGTATTCAGGGTATCAATATTAAACAACGTCTAAAAGTATTGTCAAACATTTTCACTCGCCTTGTTTCCGTTGTTTCGCCCTCATAGCAACATGACATGGTATCTAGCGTAAGGAGGAGTGATGACAAAAACTGCATAGTGTACGGAAAAGTGAACAAGCTGCACAAACCAAAACATAATCAACACAAATTTCAAGACTTTGATTGATGTTCTTTTTGTTTCTTTGATTTTGGAATGAAATTGAACAAGAAGAGCATAAATAGCATTTTTCACAGTGTTGGGGAGAGCCAAAATAGCTATGCCGCGCATGCAAAGCGTGGGCATCGTGCAGGAGCGAGTGATGAATGTGCTACGCCACTTTTTTTTTGAACCGGGAAGGCAAACTCAGCCAAAAGGCAACTTTTCGCTCGAGATTTGCCAGGAGCGTTTCTGAGATTTCAAATCATGAGGAACTTTCAAAGGCAAACTTTCAAACAACTTTTGATGAAATTGTAACAATAGTCCATGAGGAAATTGTAACAATCATGGTTCAATGGTTTTGTTGCTCTTAGACATTACTCTTGAAGTTGCTAGCAGCCCTTTCAAAAGCCACTACCTTGTAAGCCATTGTTGTTCTAACTTTCTAATCCTTAAGTTCGGCTCTTCAGTGACACTTGTTCTTCTTCGGTATCTTTCGGTTTCTGTTTGAAGAAACAAAACTGGGCGCTAGATGACAAATCTGGAGCAAACACGTCACATGTGACATGTCGCAGGCCTTCAACCGAAACCAGACCCATCTAGGAGCAAAATATAAAAATTGGTGACCGTTCCCAGGAGGAAAATGGCGCAACTATTGACGATGGAAGATCTTTGATGTATTTCAGGCTATCTGCTGAAATATGCGCCGTGGCCAAATATCCAGATCGACTACAAAGCCCTCTCGAAAAATACCCAACCAACTGTTTGAAATTTTCATGAAACAAAATGGTCATTTAGTTTGCAATGGAAAACATCCAAAAACAAACGGTTTTTTTTTGTCTTACCCCCAGAAGCCAACACGCAGCGACCGTTGCTCACATGCCGGCGCTCCTTTCTGAACAAAGCACTAGAAATCAAACCCCGTATCTCTCTGCATATTTTTGCTTGCGTATCTAATCAGATCTTTCGAATGGTTCAGAGCCACCTTTCTGTGATGACTTTGGAGGTGGACCACTAATAATGTTCAACACCCTTATTCGTAAGAGGGAGTAACCCGCAAAAAGGATTATTGGCTACTAAAAAGGGACCCCCTACACAAACCAGTGGTTTATCAATAGAAGAGTGATATTATTAAGGATAATTTTTTGACAATTAATAGGCCCGCCATTTTTGGACGGTTCGTCATTACAAGTACAAACCTTTGGCGACGTTCAAGGTCGTTCGGATTGTGCAACTTCCTTTTTTTGGTCGAGTTTCTCTTTATTGGTGGGTCTCGGCGAACAGCTGCTGGGCGGGCAAAAGCCAAGATGGCATTGCAGCTACGCACACCTGAAAGCGATTCATATGGCTTGCAAATCCCGCCCTGTCCAACCATGTATAGACACTCGCAAACATGTGGAGATGTACTTCCGGTCAAATGATATGGATTTGCTTCTCCATCTTTTCCCTCTGTTCAGGGATGACTATATGGAGGTGGTTGATGTCCTTAGTATTGTCGGCTTTCATGTTTGTTTCATGGCTATGTTTCAAATTTATCAGCCACGGAAAATGGATGCTTTATTGAAACGTGGGACCAATTCAGTGGGTCATGTGGTGCCCCCTATTGTTCTTCTCATGTTTTTTCAATGGTTATTATTATCCGTATCATTGTGGGTCGTTTCATGGTTCTTCCATGAACGGTTCCACCGTCAAGGGCCGTCAAGCGCCCGCATTTTAGATGTGCTCCCAATGGCATAGTTGATCACTTCCCCAGCCTCGATATGGGGAGGTATGGTTCCCATGACCAGTGCGGGTGATATGGTTCAACTGATCACAGTACCCGTATAAACCCTGGGTCAATGATTAAAACCAGAACCCAAATGGGCTATGACCGAGGCTTAAAAAAACAAAAATAGCTATAGGTCCTGGGGGTATAAACAACAGTGGCAAAGGTAAAACCGTTCCTCACAAAATCATGAACAAGCAAAGCTTCTGCAAGACATCAACAGCAAAACATGTTTTGCAGGAAACCTTTTGTCGAATCGCCGCCTTCGAAGAAAAACCAAGAACGTGAGTCCCGCAAGACATCAACAGCAAAATCTGTTTTGTAGGAGGCATTTTGTCAGATCGCCACCTTCGAAAAAATTACACCTGCACAGACCCCAAACAGCAAAAAAACAATTTACAGCGTCCAGCAGCCTTTGATTTCTTGTCCCACCGCTAGCAACACAGTTGCCAAAGCGACGGTATTTGCCAAGGGAAGCACGGCATGCCAAAACGTAACCAGAGAAAAACCATAGGTTCAAGATTAGCCAAGGACCAACATCTCTCTTCCCACCCTCACCAAAAGGTACTATTTCAATATCGATCAGGGACTTCTGTCCATGACTTTCGTGGATACCACTAGCCGATCACCACTCATCTGCTGTTGTTTTGATTGTGTTTGCAAAAGTGTGGAAACCAATGCTTCATTTTCCAGAGTCCCCCTTCGATTGCTTGATCCACTCCATGTACAGGCATATTCAATACCCGATTCCGTCCTCGTGTGCTCAGAGTCGATTCTCGGTTCCGACCATTTTGGTCACGGCGTTGTTTCACTGCGTGTACCTTGAAGGATTGCAATAGCATCCGGACCAATTGACACTGGTGTCATCAACAAGCCATTTTGGCACCAGTTTCACAACGTTGTCTCACGCAGCGTTTCATGCCACTTTGGCACCAATGGATTTCCAATCCATCCGTTTGATGTTAGGGCTATGCCATTTTTTGTAGCCCTTAGTTTTGTTTTTGCAGCCAGCATATTGGACCTTCGGCATCCGCCTACTCGCAGAGCCCTTTTGGCACCACCTCCATTCCCTTCCACTCCATAGATTTTGGGTTAGGGCTATGACATGTTTTGTGCCCGGAATTTGTTTTGTTTTGGGGCCTGTGGATGGGATTTTGGAATGGACTCTCTAACTTTCACTGCGTTTTCCCACGCGTCAGTCTCACTGCGTATCAGTTCACTGCAGACCCACATCCATTCTTGCCCCATCCATGACCCTTGACTCTAGGGCTATAACAATTTTTGTTGCCCACAATTTTGCTTTGCTTTCACATGGATGGGAACTTAGAATGGATTTCTGACGTTTTCTCCTCTGGAGATCTGGTGTTGCGACCTTGTACCTCATTGCACTGCGTTTCATACTGAGTCCTGGACTCCCAAACGTTGTCAATTTCAACATTCTCGTTTTTGTTTGGAACGCATGCAATGCTAGCTGAAGATCAGCTTTGTTTATCTGCCATGGGTTGAATTTAACCATGGCCAGATGGAAATTACTATGGCTGAAACCAACAGCCAGAAATCCAGCAACTGAAAAGAGGAAATTAAACTATAAAGGTGCGGCGGCGCAGACAAATCCGATAGGATTTGAAAATGGAAACTATGAATATCTGTTCTAATTTTTGTTTATATTTGCCTGAGTTTATTTATATACATATACCTAGTTGTGTCTG